CAGTGCTGGTGGAGAGGATCCCGTGGGTGGCCCCCGAGTGTGTCAGCAACCCCGGGAGCCTGGCACTGCCAGCTGACAAGTGGGGCTTCGGAGCCACCCTCTGGGAGATCTTCAGCGGGGGGAACATGCCCCTGAGCCTGCTGGAGCCCCAGAAGGTGAGGCTGATCCCAGCACCCCGCTGGATGCTGCCCCATCCCGTTCTATCCCAACCCTCCTGCCCCATCCCGTTCTATCCCAACCCTCCTGCCCCATCCCACTGTATCCAAATCCTCCTTCCCCAGCCCTCCTGGCCCTTCCTGCTACATCCCAGCCCTTCTTCTCTGCCCAATCCCATCCCATCCCACCCCAGAAATCCCATCCCATCTCATTCCCTGCTATGAATCCCATCCCATCCCACAAATCCCATCCCATAAATCTCAACCCAAAGATCCCATCCCATAAATCCCATCCCATTCCCTGCTATGGATCCCATCCCATCCCATCCCAACCTCCCATCCCATCCCAAAATCCCATCCCATCCCATCCCATCCCATCCCATCCCACAAATCCCATCCTACAAATCCCATCCCATAAATCCCATCCCATCCCACCTCTCCTGCCCCATCCCTCTGCACCTTCCCCCATCTCGGAGCCGTTCAGGGGCTCTTTGGGGGGTCCCACACCCCCTGAGCCCCCTCTGCCCCCCTCTCCCAGAAGCTGGAATTCTACCGGAGCCGGCAGCAGCTGCCGGCCCCGCGCTGGCCGGAGCTGGCGGCGCTGGTGGCGCAGTGCATGGAGTACGAGCCGCCGCGCCGGCCCTGCTTCCGCGCCCTCATCCGCGACCTCAACAGCCTCGTCACCTCCGGTGGGCACGGCAGCGGGCTGGGGGGGCCGCGGGGACCCCGCCGCCGCCTCACCGCCCCCTCCCGCAGACTACGAGCTGCTCTCGGACCTGTCCCCCGCGGACGTGACGCTCCGGGGCGGCTTCTGGGGACGCGAGTCCCTGGCCATGAGCCAGGACCCCGAGCACTTCCAGGAGCGGCACCTCAAGTACATCTCGCTGCTGGGCAAGGTGGGGGCGCAGGAGAGACCCCAAAACTCAGCACAGCCACTCTTGCCTTCTGGATTTGGGGTGTGGGAGATCCTGGTTGTGCTGAGAAACAATTCCAGGAGAGACCCCGAACCCCAAAACTCAGCTCAGCCACTCTTCCCTTCTGGATTTGGGGTGTGGGAGATCCTGGCTGTGCTGAGAAACAATTCCAGGAAAAACTGAACCCCAAAACTCAGCTCAGCTGCTCTTCCCTTCCCGGATTTGGGGTGTGGGAGATCCTGGCTGTGCTGAGAAACAATTCCCCTCTGTGTGGGGGATTTTGGGGGGATGAGGCACTGGGAATTGGGGGGCACCCCAACATCCAGTTCCCTGCATCCAGGGGAATTTTGGGAGCGTGGAGCTGTGCCGCTACGACCCCCTGGGTGACAGCACGGGCGAGCTGGTCGCGGTGAAGAAGCTGCAGCAGGATTCAGCCAAGGAAATTCGGGATTTCGAGCGGGAGATCCAAATCCTGCACTCGCTGCAGCACGACTTCATCGTCCGGTACCGGGGCGTTTGCTACAGCCGGGGTGAGCTGGGAATGGGGCAGGAATGGGGCTGGGAATGGGGCTGGGAATGGGGCTGGGAATGGGGCAGGGAATGGGGCTGGGAATGGGGCTGGGAATGGGGCAGGAATGGGGCTGGGAATGGGGCAGGAATGGGACAGGAATGGGACAGGGAACGGGGAGGGAATGGGGCAGGAATTGGGCTGGGAATGGGGCAGGAATGGGGCAGGAATGGGGCAGGGAATGGGGCAGGGAATGGGGCTGGGAATGGTGCAGAAATGGGGTAGGGAATGGGGCAGGGAATGGGGTAGGGAATGGGGCTGGGAATGGGCAGGGAATGGGGCAGGGAATGGGGCAGGGAATGGGGCAGGAATGGGACAGGAATGGGGCAGGAATGGGGCAGGGAATGGGGCAGGAATGGGGCAGGGAATGGGGCTGGGAATGGGGCAGGAATGGGGCTGGGAATGGGATGGGGAATGGGGCGGGAATGGGGCAGGAATGGGGCAGGGAATGGGATGGGGAACGGGGCAGGGATCCCCGATCCCGGCTCCGGCCATCCCGGTGCTGGATGTGGCCGCAGGGATGCGCGGGCTGCGGCTGGTGATGGAATTCCTGCCCAACGGCTGCCTGCGGGATTTCCTGCAGAAGAACCAGCCCCGCCTGGAGCACAGGACGCTGCTCCTCTACGCCTGGCAGATCTGCAAGGTGGGGAAACGGGGGCGCTGCTGCCCCGGGATGGGGCTGGAGCCGTGCCGTGGGTCAGCCGCGAGTCGCGGGCCAGCCCCGGGTCCTGTCCCTGCCAGCGGCTCCGTCCTGGCCGGAGCAATGCCACGGGTCACCCAAGGGTCACTGTCCAGCCCTGGGGATGCTGCAGGATCCTGTCCCTGCCAGCAGCTGCATCCCGGTGCCACCCTCACCCCGGGGGCTGTGCTCCAGCCGGGATGAGCCCCCAGGGACCCTCCCCGGGGGTTCCCCAGCCCTGGGGACGCTGCCGTGTCCCCGCTCCCCGCCAGCAGCCGCCTCCCGGCAGGGCATGGAGTACCTGGGGGCGCAGCGCTGCGTGCACCGGGACCTGGCCAGCAGGAACATCCTGGTGGAGAGCGACAGCCACGTCAAGATCGGCGACTTCGGGCTGGCCAAGCTGCTCCCGCAGGACAAGGATTACTACGTGGTGCGGGAGCCCGGCCAGAGCCCCGTTTTCTGGTGAGGGGGGCACACGGGGAGGGCTGGAATTCCAGGGGATCCAGGGCTCAGGATCCGCTTTTCCCAGGACTCAGAATCTGCTTTTCCCAGAGCTCAGGATCCCCCTTTTCCAGGGGCTCAAAACCCATTTTTCTGGGGACTCAGGATCCCCTTTTCCTGGGATTCAGGGTCTCCTTTTCTCAGGGCTCAGAACCCATTTTTCCTGGGGCTCCGAACCCGTTTTTCCTGGAGCTTAGAACCCGCTTTTCTGGGGACTCAGGATCCCCCTTTTCCTGGAGATCAGAACCTGTTTTTCCCGGAGCTCAGAATCCATTTTTCCTGGGGCTCAGAACCCGTTTTTCCTGGGGCTCAGAACCCGTTTTTCCTGGAGCTTAGAACCCGCTTTTCCAGGGACTCAGGATCCCCTTTTCCTAGAGATCAGAACCTGTTTTTCCCGAGGCTCAGAACCTGCTTTTCCCCAGGCTCAGAACTCATTTTTCCCAGAGCTCAGAACCCCCTTCTCCTGGAGCTCAGGATCCCCTTTTCCCAGAGCTCAGAACCCGTTTTTCCCGGGGCAGGTACGCTCCGGAATCCCTGGCTGACAACATCTTCTCCTGCGCCTCCGACACCTGGAGCTTCGGGGTGCTCCTCTACGAGCTCTTCACCTACAGCTCCAAGAGCAAGAGCCCCTCGGAGGTGACGTTTCCCTGGAAAGGAGGAGCCACATTCCCTCTGGGACCAGCCCCCCGCAGCCCTCGCGGTGTCCCGGGTGTCCCGGAGCTCACGGGTGTCCTGGAGCTCATGAATGTCCCCATGCTCCCATACGTCCCTGTGCTTCCCAATATCCCGGTGCTGCCGACTGTCCCGGAGCTCATGGATATCCCGGAGCTCATGGGTGTCCCAGTGCTCCCAGGTGTCCAGGAGCTCCCCGATGTCCTGGAGCTCATGAATGTCCTGGAACTCCCGGGTGTCCCGGTGCTTCCCAATATCCCAATGTTCCCGGGTGTCCTGGAGCTCATGGATGTCCCAGTGCTCCCCGATGTCCCAGTGTTCCCGGGTGTCCCGGAGCTCCCGGCTGTCCCGGTTGTCCCGGTTCTCCCGGGTGTCCCGGAGCTCCCGGCTGTCCCGGCGCTCACGGCTGTCCCCGTGCCCGCAGGAATTCCTGCGGATGATGGGCACCGCGAGGCCGCCGCAGATCATCTGCCACCTGCTGGAGCTCCTCAAGGACAACCGGCGGCTCCCGGCCCCCGCCGGCTGTCCCTCGGAGGTGACACCGCTGCCCGGGGGCTGGCGGGGGGGTCCCCGCGGTGCCACCCCTCCCCTGATGTCCCCGCCGTGTCCCTTGTCCCCCCCAGGTGTACGCGCTGATGATGAGCTGCTGGGCCTTTGCCCCCGGCTCCAGACCCACTTTTGGGGAGCTGTCCCCCAAAATCGAGGCTCTGCGGGATGGGCGGAGCAAAACTCGGGGGTAGCCCCCCCCCCCCCCAGAGTGGCACCGGGACCCCCAAGCCTCGGTGATGCTGCCCTGTGCTTTGGGGGGGCACTGAGGGGGGACACAGCCCCCAGCCCCCTTTCCCACATCACAGCCCCCCTCCCATCCCTTCAGCTTTTCCCCCTTTTTTCCTTGCCCTCCCCCTCCATGGCAGAATTGGGATGGGAATATGGGATTTATGGAGATATGGGATTTATGGAAATATGGGAATACAGGACTTATGGGATTTATGGGAATGTGGGAATATGGGATTTATGGAATTATGGAAACATGGGATTTATGGAAATATGGGATTTATGGAAATATGGGAATATAGGATTTATGGGATTTATGGGAATATGAGATTTTGGGAATATGGGATTTATGGAATTATGGGAATATGGGATTTATGGAAATATGGGATTTATGGAAATATAGGATTTATGGGATTTATGGAATTATGGGAATATGGGATTTATGGAATTATGGGAATATGGGATTTATGGAAATATGGGATTATGGGATTTATGGGAGTATGGAAATATGGGAATATGTGATTTATGGGAATATGGGATTTATGGGAATATGGGATTTATAAGATTTATGGGGTTTATGGGAATATGGGATTTAAGGGATATATGGGATTTATGGGATTGGCACCGTGGCAGGAAGGAGGCAGCAGCCGGCGGGGGGGATTTTATTAGAAAATAAAGTGTTTAATAAAAGAGCAGCTCCTGCTCCCTTCACAGCACAGGGGAGGGCGGCGGGGGGGAGCAGGAGGCGACGCGGGGACAGCGACAGGGCGGGGACAGGAGGAGGAGGAGGAGGAGGAGGAGGAGGAGGAGGCGCCCCAGGAGGAGGCGCCCCCTCCCCAGCCCGCCTCCATCCAGTGTTTCCAATTCACACAACGGCGGGAGAAGCCCGGGGGGGCCCGGGGGGGCCCGGGAGCCGCTCAGGACCCCGCCAGGTAAATCCCTGCGGGGAAAAGGTGGGCACAGAGGAGGGAGGGCACGGCCCGGGCACTGCCCAGTGGCGGAGCTCGGTGCCACACCGAACTGGTGACCCCACAGAGCAGGGAAAGGACCCTAAACACCCCAGGGAAGGGACCCTGAGCACCCCAAAGAGCAGGGAAAGGACCCTAAACACCCCAGGGAAGGGACCCTGAGCACCCCAAAAAGCAGGGAAAGGACCCTAAAAACCCCAGGGAAGGGACCCTGAGCACCCCAAAGAGCAAGGAAAGGACCCTAAATACCCCAGGGAAAGTACTCCAAGCACCCCAAGGAAGGGACCCCCTATTCCCCCAGGACCCAGGGGATGGGGAAAGGACCCCGCACCCCCCAAGGCTGTGGGGAAGGGAACCCCCAGCCCCGTCCCCATCCCCCCCCGGCCGTACCTGTAGCAAACCTCTTCTTGACCAGCGACATGCGGTACCCGGCGCCCGCCAGCTCCACCTCCACTCCCGACAAGGTGCTGCCCTCGCTGCTGAACTGGGCGGCCACGGGACTGGGCTTACTGGGACCCCCCAGCGGCTCCCAGCTGGCCGAGAGCCGCCCACAGCCTGGGGGGACAGCGCAGGGGTTGGGGGGGGTCGGGACGCGGAGCCCCCCGCGCCGTGACCCCCGAGCAGGGCGGGCCCGGCCTCACCTCCCTGCCCCGGGGCACCGGGGACGTCCAGGAGCTTCCAGAGCAGCCGCTTCTCCTCCAGGTTCCTGCCGGGATAAGGGGGTGTCATCAAGCCCCCACAGCCCCAAAGTTTAGCCCTTGCTGCCCATCCCCACATCCTGCCTTCCTCACCCCGTCAGTGTCCCCATTTCCCAGTTCAGAGTCCCCTTCTCCCAGTTCAGAGTCCCCATTTCCCAGTCCAGGCTCCCCTTGTCCCACCCTGAGGAGATTCAGGACCCCACCCCTGTGCTCCTCATCTTCAGCAAGTTTGGGACCCCCGGTCCAGTGTCCCCCCCACCCTGGGGGAGTTTGGGGCTCCCAGCCCTGTGTCATCCAGCCTGTGAGGGTTTGGGACCCCAGACCCATCATCTCCCACCCCATTCAGCCTCAGGACCCCAGACCCTTCATCCCCATCCCACTCATCCTCAGGACCCAGACCCTTCATCCCCCACCCCGTTCAGCCTCAGAACCTCAGACCCTTCATCCCCCACCCCACTCAGGACCCCCATCCCTCCTCCCCACCCCAGCCCAGCCCCTCTCTCCCCGCTCCCGTTACCAGCTGGCCGCGGGCTGCAGCCGCAGGTTGGTCAGGGGCTCCTCCAGGGGCAGCAGGACGTGCACGTTGCCCAGGGGCACGGGCAGTGCCAGGGCGGCCGCGTTGTAGCCGTACTCCACGCTGACCCGCGTGGCGCCGGGCGCGCAGTCCCAGCGCACGCAGAGCCGCAGCGGCGCCGAGCCGGGGCCCAGCCGCGAGAACTGCGGCACACCGGGGGCTTTAGGGGGGCACCGAGACCCGCCCCGTGCCCGCCGGGGTGCCCTGCGGGGCTCACCTGGTACTTGAGCAGAGCCACGTTGTAGTAGGAGGCGGCCGGGCTCTGCTCCGCCTGCTTCTGCAGGTGCCCGGTCAGCGCTGCCATGTTCAGCCAGAAGTCCTTGGTGCTGGGGTCGCTCTGGGAGGGGTCGCTGGGGGCGTGGGGGGAGAGGGACAACGGGGTCTGGGTACCCCCAGGAGCTGGCACGTCGGTAGCCAGCTCCAGAGCAGCTCCAGAGAGTGCCCAGACCGCTGGGATCCCCAAAACTCAGCTCATGGCTGGCACACCCCAAACCCCCCAAGAATCCCAAATCTCAATACCAAGCTCCCCATTGCTGCATTCCCAAAAACCCCAAACTCTCGATGCCCAGCTCCCCATCGCTGCATTCCCAGAATTCCCAAAAACCCCAAACTCTCGATGCCCAGCTCCCCATCACGGCATTCCCAAAAACTCCAAAATCTCAGTACCCAGCTCCCCATCGCTGCATTCCCAGACCCCCAAAAACCCTAAAATCTCAATGCCCAGCTCCCCATCGCTGCACTCCCAAGACACTCAGACCCCTGAAACCCCCAAAACTCAGCTCCCCATCCCTGCATCCCTCATCTCCTGAGGGTATCCCCAGGAAAACAGGGACACTCCGTACCCCAAAACCCACACCCATCCCTGCATCCATCACCTCCCAGGCTCCCCATGCCCCTCCTGCACCCCAAAACCGCCCCCATCCCTGCATCCATCACCTCCCAGGCTCCCCGTACCCCTCCTGCACCCCAACACCAGTCCCCCAGCGCTGCCCCCCGCACCTCGCAGGCTGTCCCCCCGGTGTCCCCCGTGTCCCCTCCGTGTCCCCCACCTGTAGAGCAGCTCGGCGTTGGGCAGGAACTGCTCGATGGCCGCGGCGTTGAGCAGGCGGAAGCTGAGCACGGGCGGCGCCGCGGGGCCCCCCAACACCCGCACGATGCCCGCGGGGAAGGACATGGTCAGCTCGCCGGTCACCTTCACCAGGCAGCTGCCGGGGACACGCCGGGGGTCAGGGGACGCTCCGAGCTGCGGGGACCCCCGGGATCCCCCCCTCCCCGTACCTGTCGGCGTCGCGCCCCTTGAAGTAAGCGTGGACGTACTCGGTGAAGGCGGTGGCCACGGGCAGCGCGTCCTGCGAGCCCAGCACCACCGGGCTGGGACCGCGCGACAGCCCTGGCGAGGGGGCACGGGGGTCAGGGCACGGCTGGGACCCCCAGCCCACCCCCCCAGATGCCCCCCCGGCACGCACCGAGCGCCGGCGGGGCCACGGAGAAGAAGCCGCGCTCGCCCAGGCTGGCGGGGGCCGAGTGCGAGGGGCCGCAGCTCCAGGAGGGCGAGGGGCTCAGCGAGCGCGACTGCCGAGGCACGGCGGGCTGGGGTGGGGGTCTGCAGCCCTGCGTCCCCCAATTCCACACCCCTGCACCCCGAATTCCACACCCCTGCACCCCCCAATTCCTCATCCCTGCATCCCCAAATTCCACAGCCCTGCATCCCCGTGTACCCCTGCATTCCCAAAATCCTGCATCCCTTCATTCCCACATCCCCTATCCCCGAATTCCCAAACCCTGAATTCCCACATCCCTAAACTCCCAAACTCGATATCCCTGCATCCTGCGCCTCTGAATTCCTGCGTCCCCGAATTCCCATATCCCCATATTCCCACACCCCTGAATTCCCACACCCCTGAATTCCCAAATTCCCACAGCCCTGAATTCCCACATCCCAAATTCCCACAGCCCTGAATTCCCATACCCCAAATCCCCACACCCCCGAATTCCCAAACCCAGGGGGCAGATTTGGGTGTTGGGGGGCAGGGTTAAGGGTAATGGGGGGCAGAGTTGGGGGTCATGGAGGGCACAGCTCAGGCTAATTGGGGGGCACAGTTTGGGGTCACTTAGGACAGAGTTTGGGGTCATGGGGGGCACAATTTGGGGTCATTAAGGATACCGGGGGGGCTGTGTCAGTCAGGTTTAGGGGTACCCTGGGGCCGCCCCCCACCACTCACCCGGCTCTGAGGGCAGCGGGGGGGTCCCGGCCGTGCCCCCCGGCCCCTGGCAGCCCCAGGGAGAGGGGCTGCAGGACTCCCCCCCGCTCGGGGGGGCCGGCGAGGAGGACGACGAGGAGGCCGAGTTGGAGGAAGGACGCGTCGGGGGGGGCTGCTCCCCGCCGGGGCTGCGGGGTCTGCCCCAAGCCGGGGGGTCCCCAAAAGGGTCGGGCGAGGGCGCTTCTCGCGGGGCGGGGCCGCTGAGGCAGCGGCTGCGACCCCGGGGCGCGACCCCCGCCTCCCCCCAGAGCCCCTCGGCTCCGGGGCCGCTGAACACGGCGAAGTTGGGGGGCTCGGGGAGGCGGCCGGAGGGGCTGCGGGGCCGCGGGGGCCAGGCGCTGCCGGCGGGGGGCGGCTCCGCTTTGGGGCCGGGGCTCTGCGGCGTTCCCGGCTGCGGGCTCCAGGGCCGGGAGTCCGGGGAGGGACCGGGAGCGGGGTGCGACGGCGAGTCCAGCCCCGAGTCCTCCACGTTCTCCGGGGACGAGGAGGAGAAGGGAGACGAGGACGAGGTGAGCACGTAGGAGCGGGGGGCTGCGGGACAGCGCCGGTCAGAGCGCGGCCCCCGCCCCGCCGGGGAGGGGAGGGGGGTCCCGTTCCGCGCCCCCAAATCCTCACCCGGGAATTCCTCTGCCTCCAACGCCGACTCCAGGGGGGGCCCAAAGAGCGCGGCCGAGGGTGGCGTGTCCTGGGGGGGCTTCCCGGGACCGCTGGGACAGAGCCGGGGGGGGGGTTCAGAGTCTGCCCAGGACCCCCCAGGGATGGGGGGTGGCCACCCCATGGCGCCCCAATCCCTCCCCGTCCCCTACCTGTTCACCTGCGCCGCCGGGAGACCCCTCCCCATGCTGTCACCTGCGGGGAGAGGGGACACTGCGCTGCACCCCCCACAGCACCCCTCAGGTGCCCCCCAAATCCTCAGGACCCCCCGCCCTGTCTCACCGGCCGCCAGTGTCCCCTCGGGGTCTGTGTCACTGCAGGCTGGGGTCAGGGACGCCGTGTGCCCTGCAGGGGATGTCACCATGAGGGGACACGGAGCCACGGGGACTCTGGGGTGGCTCGGGAAGGGTGGGGGGTCCCCAGGGGTCGGCGAGCAGACAGGGAATGGGGCTCGGGGAAGGTGGCACTGTCCGCAGGAACTGGGTTTAAGGAAGGGTGGCATTGTCCCCAAGGAAGGGGACTCAGGAAGGGTGACATTGTCCCCAAGGCAAGGGTTCAGGAAGGGTGTGATGTCCCCAAGGAAGGGGCTGAGGAAGGATGGGATGTCCCCAAAGAAGGGGGCTCAGGATAGATGGGATGTCCCCAAGGAAGAAGCACAGGAGAATGGGATGTTCCCAAGGAAGAGGCTCAGGAAGTGTGGCATTGTCCCCAAGGCAAGGGTTCAGGAGGATGGGATGTCCCCAAGGACTGGGTTTAAAGAAAGATGTGATGTCCCCAAGGAAGGGGGTCAGCAAGGATGGGATGTCCCCAAGCAGTGGCTCTCAGCCCCACTGCCACCCCCCCAGGCCACCACCCGCCCGCAGTGCCACTTACGGGACGCCTGCCTCCTGACGGTGCCCTGCAAGAGAAGGGGACAGGGGTGAGGTGACCCCGGGAATTCCGGGGGTCCCCGCGGCCCCCCAGGCTCACCCCGACGCCGGGGGCCAGGATGAGATTTCCCACGGTGGCCTTGAGCTGCTCCACGGTGGCCTCGGCGCTGCCGGGCGCCTCCCGCGCCTGCACCGGTTTGATGTGGACGTAAAACTTGCGCGGCTCGTCCTCGTCGTAGTCGGAGTCGCTGGAGGAGCAGCCGGGATTCTCCACCTCGCCTGGGCCCCGTCAAGGCAATGCCCGGCTGGAATTACCCTTGGATCCCCCAAAAACCCCTGCTTGGAATTGTCCTTGGTTCCCCCAAGAAATCCCTGCTTGGAATTACCTTTGGATTTCCCCAAAAATCCCTGGCTGGAATTCACTTTGGATCCCCCAAAATGCCTGCTCAGGATTCCCCCTGGATCCCCCAAAAATCCCCAGTTGGAATTCTCCCTGGATCCCCCAGAAATGCCCGGTCAGAATTCCCTTTGGGTCCCCCAGAAATGCCTAGCTGGAATTCCCCCTGGATCCCCAAAATCCCTGCTCAGAATTCCCCCTGGATCCCCAAAATGCCTGCTCAGAATTCCCCCTGGATCCCAAATTCCCCATTTGGAATTCCCCTTGAATCCCCCAAATCCTCGCTGAGAATTCCCCCTGGATCCCCAAATCCCCAGTTGTAATTCCCCCTGGATCCCCCAGAAATGCCCGGTCAGAGCTGCCCCTGGATCCCAAATTCCACAGTTGGAATTCCCCTTGAATCCCCAAAATCCCTGCTCAGAATTCCCCCTGGATCCCAAATTCCCCATTTGGAATTCCTTTTGAATCCCCCAAATCCCCACTCAGAATTCCCCCTGGATCCCCCAAATCCCCTCTCAGAATTCCCCCTGGATGCCCAGTCCCCCTTTTCCCGCCCATGCCAAGGATACTGCGGGCACTGTCCGGGCGCACGGTGAATCCGTCCTCGTCCACCTCGGGGCAGCCCTGCAGGACACCCCCGACATTCCCAGTGCTCCCAGTTTGGGATGGGCAGCGCCAGGCGGGGAACTGGGACACTCACCAGGTCGTTGTCTGGAGATTCCCTGGGAATGACGAGGAGAGTCAGGTGGTGGAGGGGGAAGGGATGGGGGAATTCAGGGATGGGGAAATTCAGAGATGTGGGAATTCGGGGATGCAGGGATGAGGGAATTCGGGGATGCAGGGATTCAATCCCCACATATGGGGATTGAGGGATGAAACAATGCAGGGATGCAAAGCTGCCAGGATGCAGGGATGCAGGAATGCTGGGATGCAGGGGTGTGGGAATTCAGGGATTTAACAATGCAGGGATGCCCAGGATGTGGAATGTGGGAATGCCGGGATGCGGAGATGATGCAAGAATTCAGGGATGAAACCATGCAGGGGTGCAGGAATTCAGGGATGTAGGGATATGGGAATTCAGGGATGCAGGAATTCAGGGGTAAAATTATGCAGGGATGTGGAATGTGGGAATGCCGGGATGCAGGAACTCCGGGATGCAGGGATGGAGGCTCTTACACAGCGTCACGCTCCCGCTCCTTGCGGCTCAGGCCCGGGATCCGGAACGCTTTGCTCCGGCTCCTCTTGGGTCCTGGGGGAAGCGGGAGCGGGTGAGGAGGGGTCTCCGCAGCCCCCGGCACCCCCAGCTGGGTGCAGACGTACTTGCCTTCCTGCGCTGGAGCCAGCCGGTACTCGTCGAAATCCAACACTCCTGCCACGGAGAGAGGGATCAGCCGGGATCAGCTGGGATCAACCCAGGATCAAGCTGGGATCAGCCCGGGATCAACCCAGGATCAAGCTGGGATCAACCTGGGATCAGCCAGGATCAACCCAGGATCAAGCTGGGATCAAGCTGGTCAACCCAGGATCAAGCTGGGATTAAGCTGGGATCAACCCAGGATCAGCCCATGATCAGCCCAAGATCAACCTGGGATCAGCCTGGGATCAGCTAGGATCAAGCTGGGATCAGCCCAGATCAAGCTGGGATCAGCCAGGATCAAGCCAGAATCAGCCCATATCAAGCTGGGATCAGCCCAGATCAACCTGGGATCAAGCTGGGATCAGCTGGGATCAGCCCAGATCAAGCTGGGATCAGCCCAGGTCAACCTGGGATCAGCCAGGACCAAGCTGGGATCAGCCCAGATCAGCCGGGATCAGGGGTCCGGAGGGACCCCGGGCTCACCTGGCCGCTCCCTGCCCGTGCCCTTGCTCTCGGCGAACCTCCGCAGCAGCATCTCCGTGCCGATGTTCTCCACGTTCTGCTTGAACTCCTCGTGGACCTGGGAGGGGGAAAAGGGAAGGGGACATGGAATAAAGGGGACAAAAGGGGGACAGGGAGGGGTCACTCAGCTGGGGACTCACCTGGCCAATCTGGACGTGGGTGTCCTCCACGGAGTGCGAGTAGGAGCCGATGAGCCCCTTCATGTGCCGCAGGTGGGCTTCCTCCACCTCCTGGAAGCGCTGGAGCGGGAACAACGGGGGCAGGAATGGGGGGGACATCCCCAGGCATCGGCAGGGAAGGGTTTGGGATGGGTGGGATGTCCCCAGGTGGGCAGGGAAGGGTTTGGGGTGGGTGGGATGTCCCCAGGTGGGTGTGGAAGGGGGCTTGGCATGGGTGGGATGTCCCCAGGTGGGCAGGGAAGGGTTTGGGATGGGTGGGATGTCCCCAGAGATCCCATCTCTTCCCAAATCCCACCAATGCCCATCCCTTCCCAATCCCCAGCTGTGCCCATCCCTCTCCCCAGCTCCCAGCCGTGCCCACCCCTCTGCCCGGGTGCCAGCCGTGCCCACCCCTCTGCCCAGGTGCCAGCCGTGCCCACCATGGCCGAGTCCAGCATGCGCTGCTCGAAGTCGGCGCGGGCAGCGTTGTATTTGTCCACCGCCCTCCGCAGCGCCTCGCCCGCCTTCCGCGACTTCAGCTCCGCCTGCGCCACCGCCGGGCACGGGCACAGGGGGACAAGGACAGGGATCGTCAGGGACAGGACAGGGGACAGCCAGGGGACAGCCAGGACAGCCAGGGGACAGCCAGGACAAGGACAGGGATCGTCAGGGAGGGGACAGGGGACAGCCAGGGGACAGCCAGGACAGCCAGGGGACAGCGGGGACAAGGACAGGGATTGTCAGGAATGGACAGAGACCACCCAGGGGGACAAGGGACAGCTGGGACAAGGACAGGAACCATCAGGGAGAGGACAGGGGACAGGCACAGGACAGCCAGGAGAAACCAGGGGACAGCCAGGACAAGGACAGGAACCGTCAGGGAGGGGACAGGAGCCTCCTGGGGGGGACAGGGACTCCAGGGAGGGGACAGGGATCACTGTGGGACAAGAGGACCATCGAGGGAGGGTCAAGAATCACCAAGGAGGGGACACAGACCAGTGACTGAGGTGACACAGTGGGTGACAGAGACCGCAGAGAGGACGAACAAGAACCACCACGAGGGGACAGAGACCACCAAGAACGGGACAAGAACCACCAACAGGAGCCAGGGACCACCCAGGGGGACACGAGGACCACTGAGGGGGGGGTCCCGGGGGTGGCACCTTGTCGATCTCCTTCTGGCTGGTGCCCTCCTTGCGCAGCCGCTCGTACTCCTGGCACTTGCTGTGGTAGCTCTCCTTGGACTTGGGCAGCAGCTGGGCCACCCCGTGCAGCAGCTGCACGGCCTCCAGCGTCCCCGACACCTCCTCCTTGGACTGTGGGGACACGGCGGCGTGGGCAGGGTGCCGGGGAGGGGACAGGGCCGGGGAGGGGACAGGGCCGGGGAGGGGACAGGGGCAGCAGCTGGGCCACCCCGTGCAGCAGCTGCACGGCCTCCAGCGTCCCCGACACCTCCTCCTTGGACTGTGGGGACACGGCGGCGTGGGCCGGGGTGCCGGGGAGGGGACAGGGCTGGGGAGGGGACAGGGCCGGGGAGGGGACAGGGCCGGGGAGGGGACAGCGCTACCTTCTTGTGCACGCGGCCTTGCTCCTCGCCGTAGCGCGAGATCTCCTTGATGAGGTCGTGCAGCTTCTTCATCAGCTCCAGGTGGCACAGCGCCAGCTTGTCCGAGGAGATGCGGAAAACCTCCCACAGAGGCGCGAAGGTCCTGCTCGGGGGGCCACCAGAACGGTCACCGCGGTGTCCCCAAAGCCACCTGGAGGCGGCCCGGACCCCCCCGTACCCCAGCTGGGTCCCGTTCGTGGCCATCTTGGACAGCTTCACCATGGCCTTGGCGTAGTTCTCCTCGATGGCGGCCCTGGGGATGGCGGGGAGGGGGGTGTGGGATGGAGCCAGGGTTGTGGGGACCCCACCCGGGGGTTGTGGGGACCTCCCGGGTTGTCCCCAGCCCCGGGTACCTCTCCCGGACGAAGTCAGCGAGCTCCTTGGTGGAGATCTGCCCGTGCTTCATGTTGTGGTAGAGCACGTCGAAGCCGTGGTTCTTCTCGCCCTGCCAGGGGAGCACCCCCCCTCAGACCCCAAATCCCAAGGGACCCCCACACCCCCTTTCCCCATGGGACCACCGGGAGCAGCGTCTGAGCAGCCCAAACCCCCCCAAAATTGGGGTGCTGAGCCCCCTCCCACCCCCACCCCGAACCAGCCCTCCCCAGGACGGGCTGGGCTGAACCCCAAAAACCCCTGGGGTTATTTTGGGTGCTGCCCCCCACCCACAAAGCGGCTTCAGCTCAGCCCCTCCCCCGCCAGCCGCGCTGGGGGTGCAGGTGAACCCCCAGGGGAAACTGAGGCAGGAGGAAGAGGAAGGTGGCGGCAGCTGCCAGACGAACCAGGAAGCGCCGGCCACGCGACTTCCCCCGCCCCCCCCCAGGCTGGGGACCCCCAGGGAGGGGGGGACAGCGATGTCACCACAGCGGTGAGACCCCCAGACCACCCCCCCCAACACCCATCCCCCAATTAATTAATGAACAGCATTAACGAAGGCACCGGGCCTTGAAAATTCACCTCCCCGAAGGGCGGGGGGCCCCTGAGCATGGGGGGCACCCATGGAGGGGTTGGGGGGCCCCCAAGGGCGGGGGGTGGGTCCCGGCTTACCCAGAAGTGCTCGGTGAAATAGGACATCTTGGAGGGGGGGCAGCGGCGCGGGGACCCCGCAGCTCAACTCCCGGGGCCCTGGGGGGACACCGGAGCCTTACCGGGGGCTGTGCCCCCACCCCGGGCTGCGCCCCCCCGGCCGCGCTCCCCATCATGCACCGCAGAAAAACAGGAAACCCCAAAAATTCGCGCCCGGTTGGCGCCACCGGGGGAGGCCCCCCCCGACTCACCCTGAGCTCTCGGGGGGTTCGCGGGGCCCCCCCGAGCATCCTCGGCGTGCCGGGGGTCTGGAGGGGTTCAAGGGAGGGGGGTCAGGGCACGCTGCAGCCCCCCCAAACGCGCTCCGAGCCCCCCCCGCTGCCCGGTGCCTCCGCACGGGCTCCGCCACCTGTGTCACGAGCGGGGCGGGCTCGGCGCGGCCCCCCCGGTAAAGGGGGGGGGGAAAGATGGGAGGGGTCTCGGGGCTCGCAGGACCCCCCACCCCCCCCA